TTGACCTCAAAAATGAAGTGCGTGCAATAAACAAAAAACACGCTAAATCGGCGAAGTCGGTTGACCTCAAGGACGAACTCCATTGGGTAAAGTGCATATAATAATTAAACTTTCTAAGTATGTATTTATATACTTACACAACATTATAAAAGTTTAAAATGTAAGAAAAATGCCTAGAAGATAAATGTTCAAAAAGAAAAAATAAAAGTTTATATAAGTTTTTGAAAAAAAAAATCTATATATCAATATATATGTGAAAAAACACTATTATGGCAAACGCATGTTTTGGTTACACTAAATTACAAATCTGAACACGCGTGCAGAGACGGTAATGAATAGTCAATTCCATTTAAGCTAAGCTTTCTATCCTTTCTGTCGATGGAAATTAGCTTTAAAGGTCGATCTTTTGTTTTTGACAGAGAATTCTGGAAACGCTACCTAATATATATACATAAAAAAAATACTCCGTTAATAACTGTACAGAATTTATTAAATAACAATATTTCAGTTCTTTCAATTGAACAACGAACAAAGTTTCTTCTACAATAAGAAGAAGCATAACCATTCCTCCTAGGCAATGGAAGACCTAATTGGCAAGAAACTCCTTCTTCAGAGATCATGAAACAAACTATCCTTCCAAATGGTTTAGTGGGATTCAGTGTGCACCTCGGCGCCTAAGGTAACAAACCAAAGCCACCCTTGCCAAATGTCCGAATAGTTCCTTCAAGCCTCCTAAAAAAGGGTTCGTTCGTTCAACGCTTTCGGGCAAAGTTTCTTCTACAATAAGGGAGATGCGTAACCATTCCTCCTAGGCAATGGAAGACCTACTTGGCAAGAAACTCCTTCCAAGTTCATGAAAGGTCCTGATTACAGAAATATTGAAATATAATTACCTTTTATTTTTACAAAGATTTACTCCATCTATTGCTATCGTGTTACTTGTTGAATTATTGCTGTATTGTGTTATTTGTTGTGTATTGTTTATTTGTTGAGTTATCGTGTTCTTTTATATACAGTATATATATATATATATTTATATGATTTTCATAAGTTACACAAATCGACATTTAAAATTTTCGCCCTTTGTCAAAACACAATATGTTCCCTAAACAAAGTAGTTATTGAAGTTTCTACGAATCGAACGGTATAAAGAGCGTGAAGAACTAACGTCTTTCTGCAATATATGATTCCCTCAAAGAAGGTTATTTATTTGCCTTCTTCCGTAAGATTCTTTTCAGCTTCAAGATATTTTTGTTTAGTTTAGTTTAGTGCGTTGTACTGTGTACATTTTTGGTAGCGTTCCCACAAAAAATTGGTCACCCTACCCTTTGTAATTTGGCCAATCAAAAATTTAAGATCAGATGTAACGTGATAGTCAAAATAAACGTGGTTTGTTTTCTAAATAAAAAGTCGCATGTAAAAAGAAAACCATGTTATAGTTAGGGTTAGTGATTTAAGCCGCATGATTTTAGTCGGCTGGCTAAGCCAGCCGACCAAAAACATCGGCTAAGCGGCTAATAGTG